TATATATATATATAGATATTTTTCTAGCCCTTGGGAAAATAAATGCGCACATTATCACAGCTTACTGTAGATATGTTGAATGATTTAGGGCCCGTTCACACCAGATGCAGCGCGTTCCGGCCCGATTTTAGCCAGAACGCATGCTTCGCATTGCGGCTGCCTTACTTTTGTGTGGGGCAGGAGGGGGGGGCGTGGCGGGCCATTGAAGTGAATGGCACCGTAGCCACGCCCTCCGGCCACACAGGTTCACAAGGCAGTAGCAACTCACTGTACAAGGTGGAGTCGGCACAAGAATTTAGGCTTTATGGTGGAAAAGGGTAGAATTTTGTGGTGAGAAAATGCTGAATGAATTTTAGTTATAAATAAATAATAAAAGATCTTGTTGTCTTCTATTTATTTCCATGCTTCAGCTTAACACCGTTTGACTTATTGAGAAAGGCCAACTTTAGATTTCTAACCATAATAACCGCTCATTCTTCTTTCACTGATCTTACACGATGTTAAACCCTAACAATTAACTTCTTTTGTTTGCACCCTTTTGGTCTGTTAAATATGCTGTTGAAAGCGTTTTGTTATATCTGTTTGATAAATGGAAAAAAAAAAACAACATCTGTTGATTCTGCCAGAAATCCAGTGAGCTCGTAATTTCCTGGGCACTGTGCCTGTGCTGCACTGAAATCTTAAAGCGACACTAAACTCAGAAATGAAATAATAAAAACAACTTCTATTATATAAATGATAAAATACCGTGTACCTTTTTTTGTCATTATTCAGCTCTAAATGCTCCAAAATCCGTTAAATTTCTCTCCAGCCACAACTTCCTGCCAGAGGGTGGCTACTTTTCTTCTCCATGGTCCCTATGGGAGCTGAAAAGTAGCCACCCTCTGTGCTGGATCATGTGAAGGACTGCAACACGCTGAGAGCGTATCTTCTCAGTCTCTGCCCACACATACTCCCCTCTAGACTCTGCAAGGAGCTGGGATTTCTTCAGCTCTCCCACGCTAATATATGATCTGTGATTTCTCTCCTCCTGGCTTACCAAGGAGGGAGTGTGGGGGGGGGGGCTGCTTGTGAGTGTGAGCTCACATGCTGAATCTGGTCACACAGTCACAGAGTAAAGAGACAGTCACAGAGTAAAGTTGTTTTTCTGTGTAGATTGTTATAAACTTGATGTTTGTTGTAGATTTGTTCTCACTAGTTTTGGTAATTCAGAGCATTGCAGAGGAGATTACAAGCAGTGACACTGTCCAGGGCTGTAGCTACCATGGGGCGAGTGAGGCACAGCTGAGAGGGGGCGCAGCCAGGGCCGGCCCGTTGCGCCCCCTCGCCCCTGTTGCCATGGCGAGCACAGGCTCCAACACAGCCCTGGCTCGGCAGGGAGAAGAGGGGCGGCACAGGCTCCAGCTTCTCAGATCCCCGCTGCTCTCCCTTGCCTGTATGGACAGAGGCAGCGGGGACCTGATGAGAAATGGAGCGCTGCAGCCAGTGGGGTGGCGGAGGTGGGAGCTGTCACTCAGGACGGCCTTGCGGTGAGGAGAGAGAGAGAGAGACGCTCGGCCAGGATCTGACAGCGAGTGGATCTTTCTCTCCTCACTGCTCGACCATCCTGAAGTGACAGCGCTAAAAAAAAATAAAGCCCCCCCCACACACGCACACATATTATTAGACATGTGCAAAGACAAAATGAACAGAAACTTAAAATGTTTTCATTAGTTTCGTCAAACGAAACACATTTTTATGCTATTTTGGATTTGGCCACCAGCGCATTCCGAGCATGTGCACCACCATCCGTCGGGTGACATCGCACATGTGTTGGGGGGCACAATTTTCTGTTCTTGCCTCGGGCGCAAAGGGAGCTAGCTACTGCTCTGACACTGTCACAGTGTGTATAAAGAGGGGAGGGAGGAGGCAGCTGTGTGCAGGGAGAGATGATTCCGATCTGCCTCATGGGAGTTGTAGGCAAAAAAAGATGTGCACGTGACCAGAATCAATGTGCACGGCTATTACTAAGGGACAGGAAGTGTGAGGGGAGAGAAGAGACACGGGAGCGAGCGCAGCAGACTTTCTAAAGGGATTGAAATAGTCTTTATTTTAAATCATAAATAAATGTGGCTTTGGGAGAATGTTCACTGTGTAGATGTGTATACAGCTTCCTCAAATTATAAGACTTTAGAAAATATAATTTTTTTCAGAATCTTTGGTCTTTTTTTTTCATATAGATAGATGAAATAAATAAAAAACCCTGCGGAGATCAAATACTACTAAAAGAAAGCTCTACTTGTGTTAAATAATGATATAAATATCATTTGGGTACAGTGTTGTATGAGCAGATATTGTAACCAGAAAGAAGCGGCACTGCATTTCTCAGGTAAGTACAACTGTTCCCACTGACCAGCAGTGAAAGGGGGGCAAACTGACCTGGGGGGTGTATTGACTTTGTTTTTAAAAAGATGAAATTATCCTTTAAATGTTGTCGCCATAAAGAAGTTTTCTCTTCCTGTTCTGTCTGATAAGAAAGTGAGGGGGAACCACCCGCATGTGGACATGGCCAGCAATTAAATCCAGATATTGGAAACCTTCCTCAATCCGCTAGAAAATGAATATTTAGTACAGTTTGTGTACACTTGGGGGATTTCCTCTTCTGTCTGAAATTGGTCAGACGGAACGTGAAGAAATGTCCCAAACAGGGAACACAATACAACAGACGTTCGAAATCTATCCAAAGCTAAAAAAAAAGTTATTAGCCAGATCTGGTTTTTAACCTCTTGCCGTCCGCCCGCTCGTGCGTGCCCCCTAGCGGGCAAGCACGGGCAGAAAAGACCCGACCATTGCACACACCCGTTACCGGGTGTTTCACATATAGGCGAACAGTCCAGGGCCAGGGTGTAGGCAACCCCATGGACTCCAGCTGTTGTGGAACTACAAATCCCATGAGGCATTGCATAACTGACAGCAGCCACAGGCATGACTCCCAGAGGCATGATGGAATTTGTAGTCTCACCACAGCTGGAGTGCCAAGGATGCCTACCCGTGCTGCAGGCTTTGCTCCCTGTATACACTATATCTCAAGGATTACTCCATGGATCATACAAACACACTGAGGAGCAGTAATCACCCCACAGGATCACAACTTCTACACACAAGGTAGCCTGTAAAAGAAGAGGCATTATACTTATCTTTCCAGCGCCTTATGTGTTAAAAGCTGTTATTTCTGGGTCACTACATGTATTCCACACATCCAGATGTGTAGAATAGCAAAGTGCATGAGCTTTGTGCGACCCAGTTTGCCAGACTTCGCCCAAGCCGGTGCAAAATTGTCCATGACACCCTCCCCCCAGTTGTGGCCAGGGCATTCCCCACCCACCGCCTACACATATAAAAAGGGGCAGGGAATTCCCCAGCCACAGCTGAATGGACTGAGAGATTTGCCTGGGCTTGAGTGAACTCTGGCAAGGTAGGTTCACACAAAGCCCTTGCCCATTACTAGTATAGAATACCTGCTCCCCTGCTGGATGCTGTGGTTTCTCCTGTGGCTCCAACATCACTGCAGGATGTATGAGTTGGTGGGAGGAACCACTTTGTATGGCGGGGGGACAGGTATTTCACCCACCAGAAAGGTTGAATACCCGCAGTGGCTGCAGATTAAAACACGGCCTGCTGGAAAGGAAAGTATATGCACCCTCCTGGTACAGGCTGCCTCGTGCTGACAGAGTCACTAATAAACTCTAAATCTGCAAATGGGTAACAACCTCATGGTTCTCTTAATGTAAACCTTCGTTGCAGACTGTCATTGCTGGCCTCTCCTTCGGAAAATGCTAGCTGTCTGGCTGCTATGATGATCCAATGGCTTTAATACTTTGTAACCAGCATTCTTGCTGTGGCTCAGCAACCCAATTAAGAATTTAACCTCTTGCCGTCCGCCCGTAGTAAAAAAACGGACGGACGGCACTGCTACATCTGCGGGTTGCCGTCTCCAGACGGCAATTTTTTTCTGCTCACGCGCGCCCCCTAGCGGGCACGCACGGGCAGAAAAGACCCGACCGTTGCACACACCCGTTACCGGGTGTTTCACATATAGGCGATCAGCGGCTCCATAGCCCACCGATCGTCTATATGTGCTCGTTCGGCCGTCCTAGCTCCGAGGGCGTCAGGAGGAGGAGGACGGGAGATCAGCTCCTTGCTGATCTCCGCCCGGGCTGTGAATGCAGAAGTGATGTGTATTACATCACTTCCGCATTCACCTGTCAGTCATCTGGCAGAGAGAAGAAGCTGATAAAGCAGATCTCTGCTTCATCAGCTTCTTTTGGGGTCCACAGGTGACATAAGGGTCCTAGAGACCCCTAATATCTCCATAAAGAGGACCTGTCAGTGTGCCTTTGCTATTATATAGGGGGTTGTTATCCCCCTATATAATAGCAATAACAATAAGTGCAAAAAAATAAATATAAATAAAAAAAAATAAAAGTAACACATAAAAAAGTAAAATAAAATAAAAGTCACATATAAAAAAAGGGGAAAAAACCCCCCCAAAATGTTTAACTCCCCCACCCCCACGTTTACGCGCCTATAAACGTAAATACGCGTCCGGTGCCCCAG